AGTTTGCAACCACATTCATAGGGGTCAGAACGGATTAACCGTATTTACATTGAACCTTATGGGAAAATTTGATTCGATTCATGACCAATTCGGTTCGTGACCAGAGTCGTGGAACGAATTAAATTCGTGAACTGAGGTACCACTCTATTTGCTTCTCCAGTACTTACCAGAGGGGTGTACACCAGGAGGATAAAAATCCATAGGAGGCCGGCCCTGCATCATGCGTGGGTCCATGTAAGGCGGGATCATCATCCAGCGAGGGTCAAAGTTTATTTGGGGCATTGGCGGTGGCCGCCCAATGGAGCCTGGGTACATGCCTTTGGGTGGAGCCTGCTGTGCCGGAGGGGGTGCCGAGGGCTGCTGCTGTCCGGGTGGCCCTGCCTGAGGATGAACGTTGCCCGACGGGCCCATAGGAGCCAGAGGAACACCTGTTGCCTGCTGCTGGGTAGAGGAAGACAACGGAGGCTGGACCTGGCTTTGTTGCTGCTGTTGCTGCTGCCATTGCTGCTGCTGTTTTAGCAACTGCTCCTGAGAGGGTGGTGAGAGCATCTTTTACTACACAGCCCTCAACAACTGCTCCTAACCAGAGCCCTCACTTGCACAAGCAATTGTAGATATGCTGCTTCAGTAGCTGCGAGGACATCAGCAGGTGCCAAACCCTAATCTGAACTCAACCCAACAAATTCTACTTGCTGCTTTCCATCTTCCCAATGAACCCTCTTGTTTGTCAACTCTGGACATCTCATACTGTACCTGCTGTTGCCGCTGGAATCGAGGCGGTAACGACTTCTGGTATTTTGAGTAGCCAAGAGTCTGAGCTGGAATTGGCTGGCGAGCTGGAAGAACTGTCTCTCCCTTGGACTCCACCTTGGCAGAGATGGGAGCTGCTGGAAGGACAGGTCCAGATAAGGCTGGTTGCTCTTCCCTTACTTCGGGAACTTCCTTGGGAGGAGGGGGAGGAGCCAGAGGTGGTTCAGCTGTGATGCCACAAGATGGGAAAGACAGGAAATGAGCTGGAGTCTCCTCCACATTGACCTGTAGGGTCCTGAAAGCTTATGTTCCTGAACACACCTTTCTCTCTACTAGGCTTCCACATCTCAAAATCTTCCAGGAAGAATCTTTTCAACATACCTTTCTCACTTACAACAAATAAGAAAAGAGCTTTCCCTGTTATGGGGTTGTAGACTGTCTCCCCTACTACTGAATTTTTATTCCATTTAAATCTTGATCATATCAGTGGTTTGTGATTGGCCATTTGATGTTACAGGTAGTTCTCGCTTAACAACCACAACTGGAACTGGAATTTAGGTCGCTAAGTGATGTGATCATTAAGTGAATCATCACGTGATCAGACACAATTTTATGACCTTTTTTGCAGGGGTCATTAAGCGAATCATGCAGTCATTAGGTGAATCACACAGTTCCCCATTGATTTTGCTTGCTGGAAGCCAGCTGGGAAGGTTACAAATGGCGATCATATGACCCCGGGACATTGCAACCATCATAAGTGCAAGCTGGTTGCCAAGTGCCTGGATTGCGACGGTCGTAACTTTGGACACCGGTCATAAGTCATATTGTTTAGCACCATTGTAACTTCAAATGGTTGCTAAACAAACAGTTGTTAAGCAAGGACTACATGTATATTTTTCATTCAGTACCTTTTGATGCAGGATGGTTTGTAGATGTTCAAATTTAAGTAGAATGTAATCCTGTTCCCTCAGCCTGCAACTGCCTAGTGCAGCCAGAAATAGGTCACAATTGGAGTTTAGAGTTTTTTAAAAAAAAAATTGGGGAGAATTCATACGCAAAAAATGAGAGTATCAGAAAAAAAAAGCAGACTTTTCTTCTCAAGTCAGTTATGTGCCTACAATCAAAATCTGAGGAACCTTTCCTATTTCTTTTGTCTCCTCAGCAAACAACAGAAAAGATTTATTGATAATGCCTTCCATTATTTCTGTGACTAGGTAGCACCTCCAATGCATTGCAAAAGGTTCTGAAGACCTCTTCTACAGTATTACCCAACCTGGAACCCTCTATGTGCATTTAAAATCCTAAAGCATGGTCATACTAGCTGGGGATGGTGTAGGATGTAGTCCAACACACTAAAAGATGCCAGGTTGTGGATGGCCGCTCTGGATCATGCTTTCAGCTGATGTGGGCTAAGCCTGTGGAGTCCTCTTGCTTACGGAAGCTAACTCAGAATGCATTCTGAAACACAGCCAATGTTCTCCTACAAGAGGGAGGGAATGGGAGCTGCTGGGAAGATGTGGGGGCAGGGAGGCAATGAGATATGCTGCATGCGATACTGGTGGCAGCTGAGGGGACAGAAGGAAAGCACTGGAAAGACTGGGGGAGGGAGGATGGTCAGTGGGCTATAACCATTATGGCAGATGCTGAGGGGAAGAGAGGAGAGTGCGAAGGACATGCACCAGCCTTGCTCTACTCACTGCCTGGATTTTACTTAATCTGAAACTTAAAACAACCGAAATGCTCCATGTTTTATTTCTGCTGAACTGGGGCTGACCCAAAACAGAACTGCTGGAATATGCTTGTTTCCAATTCGAAAGCGAACACTTTTCTTTTCATTTTGTGTACGCCTTATGACATAACTGCAATTTTGCTGACTCTTTGGCTAGCCTCTCAGATATAATTTTCTAATGCTAATACAAACAAAAAGTTACCAAGCACAGTTGAGTCCAAGTTGCTCCCATTGCTGCTGCTGCTGCTGCCACTGCCACAGGCAGCAGCGTTGCGAGGTTTGCTGGCTAAAACCGGCTCCTCTTTTTTTTCTTCCGGGGAGCCCGGGGCAGCCAACGGGTTGGGGGGCACCGGGGTGGGAGGCGGAGGAGGAGCAGGAGGCTCCTTGGCAGGTTCTGGCTTAAGGCGCTTGTCAGGGGCGCCAAATTTCTCATCCAGTCGCTTGAGCTTCTCGGCGCAGGCAGCTCGCCGTTCCTCCTGCATGCGCCGCTCCTCCTCCTCCCGCCGACGTCGGGCACGCTCCACCGCAGCAGAGATCTCGGACGATGACTGCTTTCGGCGCTGGCGCCAAGCTTCATCCTCGTCCTCGGGAGGAAGTGGCCGCAGTGGGCGGTCCTGGAGGGAAAAAATGGTCTCAACTCAAAGCTGCTCCCTTAACGAAATTGGGAAGCTATACAGCCCAAGCCTTGGATGGGACCATTCCTAATGAAGCACCGCAATGGAAATTCAATTGTCAGAGGTTTCACATGCAAGTCGCTTAAGCCCCTCATCATGCTATTTACGTGAAAGGCAGCCCTTGCCTTGTTGCACGATAAGGCAGCAACAAACTAGCTGCTTCTCCTTAGTGTTTTCCCATAATTTACACCCTTTGGTTTAATTCAGAAGCACAATCTAATGTCTCTATGCTCCTGATCACTTGAGCGGCAATGGCCAACCCTCATCTACCACCACATTTCCCAGCCTCAACGGACTCACCGGGAAATCGTTGGGCTGGCCCCAGTTGCCCCGGTTGGGCGGTGGAGGTGGTGGGGGCGGTGGAGGCCGGACGGCAGGGGTAGGCGGTGGCAGGTCTTTGGCGCCCTCTGAGGGACGTGCGTTTTCAGCCCAGGCTGTTTTCACAAGAGATTGATCCTCTTTTGGAGTTCCAGCCTTCTTTGTCTCTGCGCCTGATGACTGGTTTTCAGGACCAGAAGCTTCGTCATTACTAAGAAGAGACAGAAGGAGCAGTGAAGCAGAGCTTTGGGGATTCTGTGCACGCTGTTCGGAGCTGGGGCAACCAGAAACAAGAATAGCTTTGACTCAGGTACCCTGGAGATGCAGCTGCTGTTCTCCTTGGATTTCACAGGGCCGAGGGCTGCACCTCCAGAGTGTTGCAGGAGTAGGGGCACTTTTTTGGGCTCTCTTTCCTGCAGAACTGATAGCCCAGGGGCCCAGTGCATAGGAAGATCCGTGCAATCGGTTACTTCACTGCCCAATTCTTACCGGCTTTCAGTAGTTTCTTCATCAGACTCTTTCCCGTCTTCTTCATCACTGAATTTTAGCTTCTCAGTGTAGTCCACTTCTTCGTGGGCTCCTGGCAGGGGAGGAGGGGGAGAGGTAATCAGACTGACCTGAAATGCTAGCATCCCTGGAGGGTGGAAACAAAGTGCATAATCCAGCAAGGATTAGGTGATCCTGTCCTCCAGTTTACCTGCCCAGCCCTCATCATTTTCCTGGTCCAATTCATCAAATTCTTTTAGGTCATCCTGCTTGAGGACGGGTGGCCGGCTTACGGGCTCTGACGTGCGCAATGGAGGTTGGGAGGGGCGAGGCCCTGAGAGCCGCTGGAACCTGAGAAGGAAAGAAACAGCAAGAGAGCTGAAGCTCCAGATCTGTTTTCTCCTACTAGCTAACCAAATGACATTGTCTTAAACCCACAAGAGGGATCCAAAAGTCGAAGAGTATCCAACAGTATCTGAGCTCAGATGTTCTCTGGTCCACACAGGGGAGAAACAACCCAGATTCATTTCTAGCGCAGTAGCTGCCAGACCATATTGTGCCTTACACAGAAGCATTTGCAGCCAGACAGTAGAACTGTGAATTCTACTAATTTAGAATTACCTCTGACTCCCTTTCTTTGGCATTTAAGTGTTGGATACCCGGCTGTGTATATATGATTGTGGATACTGGGAGCAAAGTAAGAAAATAGGGAAGTGTGTTTCCTTAACTGAATCATGTGTCTTTCCTAGAACTGTGTGGCTGCCACGTGAACCCAGCAAAAGGGGAAGCTTATTTAACAAAACACCTACAGATGCACCAAGTGCCCTTGTGTCCCCTCTGAAACACTTTTTTCATTCTGGATCTCAATAGCTGTACATGACTTTCACTTCTCTATTAACAACCATATCTAGCTTTTTCTCTCTGAAAGATACGAACTTTACCATAATGATGTCTTCATCTGCCTTAACTATTCCTGAAACTCAAAATACTTCAGTCAAATGGTCTAAACCAGTGTTTCTCAACCTTGGCCACTTTAAGATATGTGGACTTCAACTCCCAGAATTCCCCAGCCCCCCCCGGTGGGTAGGGAGCTTTCTGGGTTTGAGGCCCCACCTATTAAAGCAGGCGAGGGTTTTGAAAAACAGACTCAACCG